GTCGTATCTTGAAAAATTCGTAAGGAGGGGCGTTCGTAACTAGAGGTACCACTGTACTTAATGATAGGCATTGTATGCAATAAGCAATACTCACCAGTTTCTCAAATCGTCCTGGAATCCCCCAGGTTGTGTTTCGACACACTTGGAGATACTAGGAGAGTAATACAAGAGGATGCATATGAGTGATAAGACTGCCTTACTGTCTGTGAAAGAATATAGACTTGGCCTTGGGAAGGGAACAGCGAAGAATTAAGGGGAGAAGGTGAAAGAATACTCAGTCCCGAGAAAGAGGAAAACGTGAGAAAGAAACTCAAACGACGTCGCCTTTATTTTGCTTGATATAAAATGGGCTAGAGAGCAGCTTTCAAGATTGACGTCAGTCCTATAAGGTAGGCAAGGTCAAGAAATAGGCAAACAGGGAGATCAGGAATACTTTTTATCGTTGCAGGTACAATAACAGAATCTTGCCCCTTTCCCCAGGCCAGGAATACATTGTTTCATACTATCCAACCCAAATAATCAGGATGTCCTGATATATATTACCCCTTGGGCCTTACAGCAGGTCCTGCTTCTAGCGTCTGCATAACCAAACGTTTGGCAGAGACCACTTAGATTCAGGACCTTTTTAGGAACAGTCCTACGAGAACGTTCTGTACACACCAGCTCTTTTCTACTTTTCAGCATAACAGCTGTCCACATTTTAACTCCCCTAAAATAATGGGCTTAAGGGGAATCTGTTGACCCCATCTTTACCCCTCCAGGTCAATAGCACTCACATATTTTACAAGAGTTGTAAGAATGGCATACATCTTGCTGACACTCCTGAGCAAGGTGTCCACGCAGGTCCCTGCAGGCAAGGCTGTTTGTACCAGCTCATGGTAGGCAGTCAGCAGAGTCCCAAGCTGTAGAATGACTGCCTTCTCTAGTAGCTGAGTCTGGTTTACTGCTTGTGAGGCATTTTCTAGTAAAAACAGAAGAGGAGAGTTCAATGCAAGCCATACAAGTCAAGGTTTGAATCCTCTAGGAATGTCTGCTCTGGAATGGGATTCTCTTTTCTTCCCTAGCAGATACAGTTCAGGTGTGCTTCTGACACACGGTAGGAGACAGCCTGTGGCTCCAGATCTGCATAGAGCCTCGAAGCTCCTGCATCCCTCAATTTTGCCATTCTTAGAGCCACTTTTGATTTCATCATCAAAATTGGGTGGGATGGTTAGTTTCCTGCTATTCTGAGGCAGCAAATTCAAGGGAACTGATATGCAAGCTTTAAAATAAAACTTCATTTGATCCAAAATGTGATCACCATTATGTTTGTTGGACCAAATCAGTCAGAAAACATCACTCTTGGACTGGAACTTGAGAGAGAGGAAAGGAAAGGAAGGGGAGGGGAGGGGAGGGGCATGGTAAAACTGAGTAAAATTATGCAGGACGTTCAGAAAATAGGTAAGATCTGATTTGCACATCTGGAGGTTCCCTCTCACTC